AACTTTACAAGAGATTTTACAGGAGCCGGCATTGCCTTCTGGTTACTGTACTTTTACTCTCCGAACCCACACATACCGCTCTCTCATCCAGTTGCAACCTATAGCAGAGAGCCTGGACTTCACCTTCTCCATGGAGTATGTCAGCATCCTGCGGCTAGTTCCTAGGATATAGAAATTTGACATCAGCAGCAAGTTGCTCATCCGTTTTGTCTGAGCCTATGCTGCAAACTTCTGTAGAATTGGGATTGGCTGATTGATGTGATGCCTTGAAATTCCATCACAGCTTCAGCTTTTCACTCAAGCCTCTCTTGCTCCCCTGGTGCTTGCACTCTCTGCTCAAAAACACGAATCTGCCTCCAAATTTTGTCTTTTGCAGTTTAGATGTTGATTTCCATGGACTGTAGCTCAAGTGACAGTTCTACTAACTCTTGTAGAGTGTCAGAAAATATGCCCAGGTTGAGTACAAATTATGTAGATGTCAGGTGTTTCTGGAGTCTGCTGAGCATGTCTTCTCCCCCCCCCCCTCACCCCCTTTTACTTTGTGCTTCTGCTGACTGCTCTAAGTGAAGAAAGAGACTAATTCTTCCAAACCGCTTTCAGTGCATGGCTACTTGATGCAACCCATCATGTTCCCAGAACAGGCTCAATTTTCAAGACTTCTACATGCAAAGTTGCTGCACGTTCTTGAAGTTCCTTTGCCCTTTTAGGGAAGGCATGGTACAGAGTACAGTTTGTCCATAAACACTTTAAAGTGGTTGACTCCATGAATATCCTGCATGGTGATGTGAACAGAGAGTTCCAATCGGTGGGCAGAGCAGTGCAAGACAATTTGGGAAAACGCAGCTGTATCAGAGTAGCCACTCTGCTTTTCTGACCTAGCATGACTGCAGCTCCATCACAAGCAAGAGCCACCAAGTGCTCCTTTAGGTAAGCCTCTGTGAATCCCATTGCATCCAATTTTTGTAGCAAGATTCTGACAATGATCGCGGCATCAGTGGCTGGAAGTTCAATGAGGTCAACAAAACCTGTTCCCAGGCTGTTCCATCTCCTCCGTTGCAAACTATATGTAGAGGCTAAGAGTGGAAGCCTGGCTCTAAGTAGTTGGCTCATCAATCATTACTGCGATTTTGCACTTACAAGATATTTTTAAATATTTTTTTCTTCATTTTCTCCACAATGTGCTGCTGTACGCTAGTGCAGGTGACATTTGAGTAGAGAATTTGCCCCATAATTAGTCTGTTTAACTTCTGCAGATCAATTTGTTTCAGAATTACAGGAGGGACAATTTTGTTTCACCAGTTTCTACACAGTATGGATTACTTTGCACGTTGGTTCAATATGTTGTGACTGCCCTTGCACTTGACATGCTATCTATTTATCTTTCTCTGCCTCACTGTCAATACTTTCTGTGGCTTTGTGACTGAGACTTTGAGGAAAAAGATACATGAGCACAGAGACTTCATTTGTTTTCGTTTGCTGTCCCCATAGCTTGAAATATAAAAATTAGCCCAATCTTCAAGCCATGATCTCTGCTGATAGCTCTGAGAAACTGTACTTTTGTGCAGATAGTGTCACCCATTTAACCTTTTTTCTAACATTTACTCATGGGTTTACCCCTCCCCCCATCTTTCTCTTGGTTGTCTGATCAACACAGCGGTATGTCACTCCCGCCACATTACTATTCATCATAGTGTTGTTCTTGCTTGTTAGGGATGCTCTGCGCTGCTGCTTCATCCTGATGAACAACAGTGCCACTAACTTCCCCACTCCTCCTAATCAGTTTCCTCTTGTGAAAAAAATAGTGCATTTATTTTTTTGACTCATGTTGGAAAATTGAGTACAGGAACTCCTCGCTTTAAGTCGTCCCAGTTAACATTGTTTCGTTGTTACGTTGCTGATCAATTAGGGAACATGCTCATTAAAGTTGTGCAATGCTTAACTCTTGCATTGTTTGGCTGCCTGCTTTCTCCACAGCTGGCAGCCTCCCTACGCCCAGCGCCTCCTGCCCGCCGGCAGACCCCTCAGATCAGTGCCTTCCCTTGCCGTCTGCCCGCGGCTATCAGCTGGCTTGTGGTGTTGAGGAGGGAGGAGCGAGGACTCGGCGCACAGGCTCCTCCTGCCTCCCCAATGCCACAAGCCAGCTGAGTCCCCTGGGCAGGAGGCAGGGGGGGAAGGAAGGAGCCTGCGTGCCGAGTCCTCGCTCCTCCCTCCTCCCTCCTGCCCCCTAAACACCGTAAGCCAGCTGATTGCCTCAGGCAGGGGGGAGGAGCGAGGACTTGGTGTGCAGGCTCCCCCTCCCTCCCGTGCCGCCTGCCGGTGGCAGCTGGCTTGCGGCGCTGTGCGGCGTTTAGAAGGGAGGGGAGGAGCGAGGATGCAGAGGAGGTGGGGGGGGGGAAGGAGGCAGGTCAAGGATGGGGGGCTTGGGGGAAGGGGGGGAGTGGGTGGGCTGAAGATTGAGGCCCTCTCTCTCTCCCCTTCACCACCACCCCCCCACCCCCCGCCCCTGGTGCTTGCAGAGTAGGGGAAGCTGCCACTGCTGCGCAATGTGCTTCTCCTAGCCTACAGCACCTTCGGCCTCCTTGCCTGCCTCATCTCCAGTGCCACTGGGCTGTGCCTGTGTAGGGTAAGGCAGGGGCACCTCCCAACTATAGTAGCGTACTGTATGTACAGTATGTCTGTAAACACACAGCATGTGCACACTACTCCCCCCCTCCCCAGCGTAGTATTAAATTGCTTATTTAAAATTGTTTAAAATGTATATGCCATTTGTCTGGCAAAAAAACCACACTCCTGCCGCGCGCCGCCCCCCATTTACATTACTTCTTATGGGGAAATTGGATTTGCTTAACATCATTTCACTTAGTCGCATTTTTCAGGAACATAACTACGTTGAGGAGTTACTGTACTGTGCATAGAAATTAACCACACATGCAAATCAGATGTGATTACCCACTGACTTTTTTGCCCTCATTGATTATGTCAGAAAGGCGTGGTTGTTTACATTCTGTCAGCAGCCCATATCTGCGGTCTGCCAGCCTACAAAGGGCTCGGCTGCTCTCCATATAGTGTGTAACTGTTAATTTGTCATAATTACCAAGGAAATAAATTGCACAGTACTCATGAAAATTGTCACATAATTTTTATTAAAGCCGTATTTTATATTGTTTACACCAGGGGTTCTCAACTTTTTTCTTTTTGAGCCTCTCCGTCCCCCACCCCAACATGCTATTAAAAACTCCTGGGCCCACTGGGGTTGGGGTGGCCTCCGGGTTTCAGTTGCTGGGCTGGAGGAAAAGGGGGCCAAGGGCTTCTGCCCTGTGGTGGGACTCTGAGCTTCAGCTGTGGGGCAGCGGGGCTCTGGGCTTCTGCCCCACGGACCCCTGAAACTGGCTCATGGACCCCAAGAGGGCTGCGGCTTTCTGGTTGAGAAGCGCTGGTTTACGCCACACTGCATCAGGCTGGAGTCAAGGTTTGAAAATATTTACTGGAGCTGCACTCTGAACAGTCTGGCTGATTATACCAGTATAGACTTAAACTGAAAAAAAGCCAGTCTTATTCCAGAATAACTTAAACTGCTTCTGAAAGGACATAATTTAAACCAGAAAAGGCATACTGTTTTATACCAGAGTAAGTGTGTCCACTCAAGCAGTTATACTGGCATAACTTCAGTGGTTTAAATGTACACCCTACTTTGTACCAGTATAACTTTTCTGGGTAGACAAGTCCTCAGACTTGGGCCACATTGTGCTAAGTACCATAGATTGTTCCTGTCATGAAGAGTTTAAGGTCTAAACAAGGCAGAAAAAGGGTAGCAGAAGGTGATGGCTTAAAAATTTCATGTTAGATCATTAATATATAGAAACCACCCACTTACTTCCACAATTTGTTTGTGGTTGCAGTGCTATTAGTTGCTGGTCATTTTAATAAAAATACTTGGCTTCTCTGGGATTGCAGGTAGAGCTTTGTTACAATACCACCACTGTTTCCTACCCCAGCTCTTCACTATCAATGGCTCATGTAATTTTTTCTTACATATTTTTCCTGCTACTCCCCTTTCTCCTGAAACACACTTTTTTTTGTTCCTCCATCTGTGTTCCTGTTCTTTGCTTCACTGCTTTATGCTTTTTTTCCCCCCAAGCTGCTTCCAATAGTTGGAGCTGGTTTCCCACCTATCTGATAGGTTACCCATTTCAGATACCTTCTTAGAACCCACTTACTTCATGAATCCTTCATTTGCTGGCCTCCTGCCCAGTTATTACTGGAACTGTTAATGTCTTGTTTCGTCTGTCAGTAGTAGCTCAAAAAGTAGGGGCGATGATTTCTTCTGTCTTGTCAATTGCCATGTACATCTACAGACTATATGAACATTTCATAACTTGTTACACATTTGTTGCAGAAAGAATTTATAGATTTTATTTCACTATAATACGCATTCATGAAACAAACAAGCTTCTTAATGTACTGCTTACCTAACCTTAACAGAGTGGTTTTGTTTTTTGTTTTTTCTCTTCCTAGCTATAAATTGTAGCGTTTCCCTCTTCTCAATCCAGCTTCTGTTGGTACTGATTACTTGCATGTATAGCTAAAGTCTGTCTTGTTCTGTTAAGTGATTGGTGTTTTAATGATGTAGCATGGCGCGATACATCTTAATCTTTCAAAAGTAGATGATTATTCTTTCAGTTTTCAAACAGGTAATAAAAATCATTTTGACGCCCAGGTTCTAAATTGCAGAAAATAAACCGGAGTGCTTATTAATTCTGTTTTAATGGCTTACAAAGGCCAAATTATTTCCCTAGCACTGGTGTATTCATGTTACACACGGATTAAAACAGATAAGAGTACAAGGAAGCACTTTAGTATGATCAACTTTTTGGGGAGACTTCTTTGGCATTGGCAAACAAAAAGCAGTAGAGTTCAGGAAATGAACATCTCTGTAGTCCTGCATACAACATTGTAATTTCTGAGTTTGAATAATTTTGTTAAACTTATTTCTCATTCAGGGACATCATGATAACCTATTTTGAACCTTCCATCTCGTTTGAAGGACTGTGTAATAAGGTTCGAGACCTGTGCTTCTTTGACAATGAACAGCTCTTCACTATGAAATGGATTGATGAAGAAGGTAAAGTGACATCAAGTAGTTTTGTCTTGTGGAAATTTAGATCTCCATCCTTCTCCTCCTACATAAATTAAGAAGATGTAACTGAGTTCAGAAGACAACCAGTCATCCCTTTCCTCTGTAAACTTATTTTCTTAATGAAAGTATTTATTTAAAAAACATCCATTATGGTGGCATCTGGATTCTATACTAAATAATTGGTTCCAAACAAAAAACATAATAACCTTAAATTCATAGCCAACACTAGGATCAAATATTGCAGAACCTACCCACCCTCCCTTCCTCCGACCCTAGTCTTAAACTATGGAAATGGTCTTAAGCATTTTATCCACAATGTCAATGTAACATTCAAATCCTGTTGAAGTCAAAGAAGAGACACCCCCCGCCCCATTGTTTTCTGTGAGCTGTCTATCAGACCCTTTGACTCAAAACCTTATTTCTTCATGGGAGAAGAGTGGTGCTGTAGAATGAAGGAACAGTAGTAACAGTTCAGCGCACAAATCTTTCTGAGGAGCAGACTTGTAGAGCAGTAATATACCTCTACCATTATACTGATGTGGAAACTTTATTATGAGTGCTGCTTCCATGCTAGGGACGGATACTAGTGACTATGACTACAAATAATTTTCTCTTCTTTTTTTAAAGAGAAACGGACTCTGTGCACAAATATCTACAGCTGTATGTACAAACTAGATAGATGATATTTCCATTTTGAAGAGAGGGCCTGAAAAACCTTCCCCTTCTCCCCCTTCCCCCACCCAAAAATGTGCAAAGCGAATAGTTTAACGTCTGCATATAAGGAATTTACTTAGAACTTAATTTTTGTACTCAATCTGAATTGTAATATTGGTATTTTCTGCCAACGGTCTTTATCCCTATCCTAAGTTAGAGAAGGGTGAAAAATTGGGCTTATTAATGGTACTGTGGTTAGGTTGAAATCTTTTAGTTTCATATGTTATGTACTTTAGTACATATAAGGTGGGATTTTTCAAAAGCGTTCAGCATTGGCCTGACCACTGACTTCACTGGGAGCAAAGTTCGTCCAATGCTGATTGCTTTTGAAAATCTCATCCATGTGTACTAAGTATAGCTCTTCAGTATACATTGTTTGCCTGCCTGCCTGCCAAAGAGAATCCTTAGTCATGTTAGTTTTCCTAGAAACTTGTAATTTAGTTTATTGCACAAAAATTCCTTTCCCAAAGCTTTTTAAAAAAACCTTCAATTCAGCTTATTTATACTAGTATGTAAACTGACAGCTTATAATGCACACGCTTTTACTTTCAATTATGTTAGACTAAATTATTCATGCTTGTTGGGAATAGAATACAGGCAATATAGTGTTTAATAAGCAGTGAAACTATGGCTTAAAACTACCTGTTGAGTAAACAGTTTTATTGGAGTCACACACACTTACGCGATTTTTTTCCTTTTGTTGTTTGTTACGAGGTCTAATTTTTTTAGCTCTTGTAAAATAAAAAGCTTGATGCATTGTAACTTCTATTTTTTTTACACAGGAAGCTAGACCTACCTTAGTTCCTAAATGAGGAATTCAAAATTTCTAAAGGGTTTATGAATGCATACTGTTATACAATTCATTACTTCCAACTTTCTTTGAATGCATACAAAACAGCAAATGTTGACGTTACTCCTGAAAGGATACTTGCTGCTTATTCCCTGTAAAATCCATCTCCTTTTTTTTGTTGTTTTTTTTCTCCCTTCATGGCTTTGTTCATATGTGCTCTTATGATATTTCCTCTACTTATTTAATAGCACTTAATTGAATAATCTGCCATGATTCTTAGTGTTGGGAGCACACAGCTGAAATCTGTAGGTCATGTCAGAGCGAGCATAATTTTTTTCAGAAAAATTTACTCACTGTTAATGCTCTATTAGTCTCTCACTCTAGACCTTGGGTGTATACGAGCGGATGGGTGACCTATTTATGTTGTGGTGCAATAAGTCATTATGCCCTTTCGTGAATGAACATTTTTATTGTTCCCTTTAGAGTTTAAAGGAAAGACTGTGTGTGAATGTGGTGGAGAGGACAGCACGTTGTATTTCGTTGGCACCTAGAGAAAGCTTAGTACAGGTTCCTAGAATGAAACCTCTATCTCAAGCATTATAGGCATTAAATCTCCTTAGAGATATTTAATAGCATCTGCCCATTCTCTTTTTGTATTTTTGAAACCTGTGCCACAGTTCTCTGTTCCTGTTTGGTGGTAGAAAAACTGGTTTGGTTGATGTTGCAACACCATTGAATAAAAATAGTTGCTCCTTTTTAAGCCTCTGGAGCACATGCATTTATGCAGAGAGTGGGTAGTTCCATGTCCCACAGAGGAACTAATTTCTCACATTGAATGTAGTGAGACGTGACAAAATCTGGCTTTAAAGAGCCTATAAATTATTTTAGTCTTGATGGATCATAGCTTGCAGGAAAGAGGAAGTTTAAGCTCTCTGTTTTAACACTTGCTGCCAAAACATTTTAGTAGGTGATCACTAACAACAAAAATTGCAAAGGGTAGGGACATTAAATGCCATATCAGTGATAAAATATAGTCAAATCCACATTTTCTGTAGGTAAGTGTAAGGCAAAAAATGGTCAGGTCAGTTATGTCTTGCAGTGAATGATTTATGCCCTTTCTGTTCTCTTACAATAGCTAATTAGTCCCTGTACAATTGTGTTAACATTTGTATTACTGATTTGCCTATGACATTGCATTCTCATACATTTGAAGAAACTAGTCATGTTAGTAATATGAAGTTTATATAGCTTTTCTAAACTTCAAAGCGTTTTAAAAATGTTAACTGATCTTCACAATGTTCTTGAGAGTTAGATCAATATTGTCCAAATTTCTCAAATGTGGAATTTGAGAGAGAGAGCGCCTGTAACTTGCCTATAGTTCAGAAACAAATCTGTCAGAACCAAGACCAGAACTCAGGAGCTCCTGGCTCAGAGTCCTGTACTTGGCCTATCTAACTTGATTTCTCCCATAGTGTTAGGGCTTAGTTATAAGAGAGTTTCAATAGTTTAACTTAAGATGTTGGATTAGTCACACTTGTGCAAACCTCTATGTGGGCTCTTATTTCTTTAAGAGAAAGCTAAATCAGAATAAGCCATCTCTGTACATAAATAAGAGTGTGCACACAGATATTTGCACCAGGGTAAGTAATCTATCACTTTTAGTTTAAACCAGTGAAACTTTACCATGTAGACAAGGCCTTAGATTGGTTCTAAGTGCTGGTATGTGATGATTTTTCCTTTTCAAAGATTTAGAAAAGGCTGCCTTTATTAAGAATAAACCTCATTCAGCTGTGATTCATGCTGCAAAAGTTAGGGCAAATAGTCCCTTGTGGGCAAAGGGAGGGTGAACAACTACACATTTATCATCCTTCAGATTTTGGGTTTAAGACTATCATTCATTTTATATCTTCATCCAGGTTAATCTGAGGAAAGTACTAGAGTATTAGCAGCCTTGTTTTTTTTTTTTTTTCTACTTTAAGATTTTGTGTCTGATAGAAAGGATGGAGAAAATATAAAGGCAAAGTGAACCCAGTTTTAACATTGTGCATTTATGAAATATTAGAATGTGTGTAATCTTGAGCAAAATCTTATTAATCTTGTGGTGAAATAGTACATACTCAAGCTTGTGAACCCCCAAACCACTCAATATTTGAGAGCTTTAGTGTGCCTGCCTCTTACTGGGCATCCCTTTTGAGGCTGAGGCAGCCCTGATTCTGATGGAAGTTGGAAATAGTTCAATCTGGGGGAGGAAAAAGACACCAATTTGTTGAAGAATGATCTAGAGATAGCAGACAGCCTTCCTATGGGATTCATAGCTCCCTTGAAAGTAATGCTGTGCTACAGGTACAATAATCTTTTCTAGCATTGTAGACACCAGATGTATGTGCAAGAACTACATGATGTTTAAGAAAGAAACTCAGGGTTTGTCTACACAGTGCCAGTACTATTTGAAATATGACCACATCAGTGCGCACTAGGGAACTTTTAGTGCACACCAGCAGGGCCCACATGTACAGTTAGTGCATGACACACTAGTGCACACTGAAGTTTACATCCCAGTTGGTACACACTAATGCACAGTGTAGACAAGCTCTCAGATCTGTAGCTCACATTTAGTCCTACCCAGTCTGAATGGGTGTGATGACAGGTCATGTGTGTACAGACTTGTAAGTCAAAATAGTTACTGTGAAAATAGGTCTTAAATTCTTATTTATCCTGGAGGGAGTTCAGATGCTGTGTCTGGAATATGAGTCTTTCAGAATGACTGTTGAAATATTAATATTAGAGGCTAATATTAATCTGGATACTAGCATAAATATTCATAGTATTACTATGATTTGAAATTAAGTGTCGTTAGTCTTGGGAAGACTCCATAACAGTGCTGTATTCTAAAATTGAATTGATCCTTTTTTTAGGAGACCCATGCACAGTTTCTTCTCAGCTGGAGTTAGAGGAAGCCTTTCGGTTGTATGAACTAAACAAGGATTCAGAGCTTCTAATTCATGGTAGGATAGAACTTTGTCTTTCTCCTTACACGCATGGGCCAGTACATATTCTTTTCTATATACGGTGGTATTTTATGGCCTCTCTCATAATCTGAATACTGAGGATCCTTCTCTATTTTGCACTTTTCTCCATCTCAAACATCAAAGCCTCATATGGCATTCAATGGCCTTGTGGCAAAAAACTGCCCCAAACTCCCATTGTAGTATGTCGGCACTTCCTTAATTGAGGGATACATACTTCTCATTGTACTACATTAAATACACAAAAATGGAAGATGGAGGGTCTGATCATCACTACTGCTTACCTGTTTATATTCACAGGAGACTGAGATGTATATCATGCAACGTCCTAACATATGTTTCCTGTTCAGTGCTTTAGAGGAGGGGTTGTATTATTAGGAAAAACAAATTTCCCTTAGCTCCGTTCACAATCCCAAACTAGCTTTTTGTTAAACTTTAAATTCTTCAGAAAGTGACAGGTCACACAAGAAATGGTGTGACCTATGTGCCACAGAGTATTTGGCCCCTGCTTCAATGAAAGGTGAGACAGCCCCAAAGTTCAATGCCAGTCTGCTTGGAAGGAGGGGAAAATATCTTCACAGTCCTGGATTTGGGAATCTATTTATTTCTGTGCACATGAGCAAGAATCATAACTTCTAACTCCAGTCATACTTGGTTATTACTGTTGTCCTAATTACTGTTTCTATTTTCTGTTTTGTTTTTCAAGATTCCTAAAATGATGGATCTTTCTATCATTCTAAGACAGAATTCCTAATGCTAATCGTCTTCACTATGTGACGGCATGAGGGGGGAGGGAAAATTCCATGTACTCAATGTAGTATCTGGTATTCACTTCTGAGAGTGTCTATAGGACAAGAAGTAATGGGCTTAATCTGCAGCAAGGGAGATTTTGGTTAGCTATTAGGAAATTGCAAACTGTAAGTGCAGTTTAAGCTCTGGAATAGGCTTCTGGGGAGGTTGTGGAATCCCCATCATTAACGGTTTTTAAGGATCTTTCAGGGATGGTCTACATTTAATTAGTCCTGCCTGAATGCAAACAGATGGACTTCTCAGGATCCCTTCTAGTTTCCACTTAGTTCAAATAGATTACCCAAGTCTTTGCATACATGGTGACATACTGCAATACAGTAGCTCTCAACCTTTCCAGACTACTTACCTTTCCAGCGCACACTTACTGAAAAATTGCTTACTTTCTCATTTTTATCATATACTTATAAAATCAATTGGCATATAAATATTGTACTTACATTTCAGTATATAGAGCAGTATAAACAAGTTATCTGTATGAAATTTTAGTTTGTACTGACTTCGCTAGTGCTTCTTATGTAGCCTGTTGTAAAACTAGGCAAATATCTAGATGAGATGGCATACCCCCAGGAGTACACTTATCCCTGGTTGAGAACCACTGCTGTAATATGCTTTCCCTTCTACCTTGACTCCACTTCAGTTGTGACAGGCTGAAGTGATTAAACTAGCACCATGTCTAACTCTGCTCAGTGGTCTACACTAGTGCTTCCTCTGTTACTATTTCCAGTGTAGAGTCCCAGGTGCTCGGCAAACTGAGAAAAGTACTAGTGTAGGCAAGACCATAAATGCCTGGTTATTAAAACACCATAACGTGGGGTATTTATGGTTGAGGTTCCCAAACGCGGGTCCGTCGCCTCTGGGTGGTCTGTAGAGAGCTGGCTGGTTACATGGTGCTGGCTTCTCAGTTTCTGTTGCTCAGTTACCTTATTTGACATATAAAAAATACACTAAACAATTTCCTAATGTTACTTTGCCACGTAGGCAACTGCTGTAGCTGCCACATGGACACTACAACTAAAAATGAGTTGAGAAGTAGCCATCGAAATCTGTTACAATGTAGTTCATCTTATAGAAAAAATTTGGAAAGTCTGATCTATAGATCTGGTAGCAATACAGCCTCTTCTGATGAGTACTTGAAGCCAGTTTTTGTGTCCATGATAATACCAGAAGAACAAACTTGCATTAATCATTCATGTTCTTGTGAGGGAGGTATCCCCCATTTTACATGAGGAAATGACGCCAGAATGGTGGTTACTTGCCAAAGGTCACAGAAGAAGTCAGGATAGTCTCAGAGTGTGGAAGTTCCTGGCTCCAATTCTTTGCTTAAGTCTAGTCTCTAGCATAGCAAGAGGTCTGCAGTGGACTAATTCAGTACCGGGTGGCTTACGGAATGCAGGAGACCTCTCAGGCAGTTGTTTAAAAGAGCCTTCTTCAAGGAACCTCATTGGCTGTACACCATGGATCTTACATTGACCTTGACATCTACTTTCTTCCCAGATGATGCAAGTACTTTTTGTTACTGTTGTATATCTTGAAAATGTATCTTTATATCTGAAGTAAAAGATTAATCTGGAGCATTACTGTTTACCTTACAGTGTTCCCTTGTGTACCAGAAAGGCCTGGCATGCCTTGTCCAGGGGAAGATAGTAAGTAGGCATTTTTGTAAAAGAAATACTTTCTGTAAATGGTCATTGCATGGATATCCAATAACACAAGCTGAACCGATTAAAATAGTAGCTTTTTGTTTTTCCTCTTGATAAGCTTTGATCTAGAACCTATCTAAGAAATTGAAACTGAAATGTGGCTATTACTCTTCTCGACAGGCTGTCCGGTTTTCCCCAAGGGTGAATAGCCATGATGACTAACAGTGCTGTCCAATTAGCTTTGCCCTTATTAGCTGAAATGGCCAAAAATCAAACTACATTTCAGGCACCTTTCAGGCCCTCTCCCATTGCTGTCTTTCCATGGACTCTGAAAATTGTATATGGTGCTGAAAATGCTTTACAATTCAATGAAATGGTGGAAGAGGGAGTTACTGTTACCTCTTAAATTATACTCTTGGGAATTCCTAGTCATGCCAATTGAAATTACTATTTCTATTAAGATTGGATTAGCCCAGATAACTTTTGAATGGATTATGCAGCTCGGGGTAGCAGGGGCTTTCCTTCCCCATGCTCCCCAATATATTTGATTTTACAATGGTTTGCATTCAGCCGTTGCTCTTAAATTAAGGTTGCAAACCTGCCCATTCATTATTGGATGTGGTCCCACCAGGTCAGGCTTGTCATGTTCATAAGGCAGTGTGAGGAGTCTTGCAGTGTTGCTATGGTGACATACCTCTTCTCTGACACCACAGAAAGCAAGTCTCCCAGAGATTGGGACTTTCCCACACATTCCTACACAGGTTACAGAAAACTAGGAGTTTCCTGTATTTTTGCAGTTAGCTTCCTGTGCTGGGAAACACTCTTGAGAACCAATTCAAACCTTTACAACAGAAGTAAACCCACTTGACACAAGTTGCGTGTTTTCATCCAGCATGAACTTGTTCAAATTTTTGTGCTGGAAGGCACATTGAGTTAATATTCAACAGAGGGTCCTGTGGCACCTTTAAGACTAACAGAAGTATTGGAGCATAAGCTTTCGTGGGTGAATGCCCACTTCATCAGACGCAAGTGTTGCTTTTTACAGATTCAGACTAACACAGCTACCCCTCTGATACTTGAGTTAATATTGTAGGTCCTGCTGCACTCAAAGTTGAGCTGTGTTTTGTCACTCCTGGATAAGCATTTACCTCATTTGTAACCACTCATGCCTCTTTGTATTGCTTGCTCCATACCATGACAACTTTCTTTTACATGTCTGCTTCTCTTGGACAGCTACCATTTTGCTGGTTGAATATTTGTGGTCCTCGTCAGCAGTAATGAAGTGTCGTGTTTTTGTCTTCCTGGGTACAGCAGTGGTTGTCAATTTATAGACTCAATTCAGCTGCTGCTCTTGAAATTTGAGGTCGTTACCCAACTGTTGCTAACTAGTTAGTTCTCTACTAGCCCTTAAGAAAAGCCTCAGCTTTAACTTGGGTGCTTAAAGCTATAAAAAGGCATGCTATTGGTACAAATTTTGTATAGAAAAGTAGCTATATTTTTAGCTATCAAGATATCAACACTACATTTGTTAGCATGGTATCTGAGTCCCTGATAGATTGAAACACATTTAAAATTATTTGATTTGCTTGACTATACACATGGAGAGTAAGTGTGACACAGTCAGTTTTTTAAAAACTGGCATTGCCAAACCATAAGTGGGTTTGAAAAACAACTTAAGATGCAGTTCTGTGTGGTTCAGTGTTAATCCATTGAGTTCCTAATGTGGTACTGCCAGTGCAAAATGCATTGTGTGTTGGCAGCTGTGGGCCTAAAGTATCAGGGGATTATAGTGCAGCAAAGCAAGTGTAAATCAAGGCAATCCTCTTTATTCTTTCAATTTAAATAAAATAGTTGCTTTTTTATTCAAATATTTGTAATACCTGGACAATCTCCCTTCTCTTGCTCAGTCTTGAAGGCTTTTAGACAATAGCAATTATTTGTAATTACCATCAATGTTTGGGGGTTTTGATTGGTGGGGGCAGCACTCACCTCAGTGAAGAGGTTTTAGAGTCTCAAACTGTAGTTTCTGTTCATGGCAAGACATTCCCATTGACATCAAATTCTGCTGGAGTGGAGAATTACAGGATTGGGCCCTTTATTTGTAAATTAGTGTGTATAAAGTGCCTATGAATATGGTGTAATGTTCACACTTGCATGGATATAATTGTATTTTACTTATCTTAGAATCCATTTATCGTCGTGGTGCCCGGCGGTGGCGGAAGCTCTATTGTGCAAATGGTCATACTTTCCAAGCGAAGCGATTTAACAGGGTAAGACTTTCCGTGGGTAGTTGAATGCAATGTTTAGTTGTACTATTACTGCCTCCAAAGATTAAAATGTAGATTGTCTAGAGAAAATGGACTTTGCCCTCAGTATATCAAATAAGGTGGTTCCATTTATATAAGTTCTGATAACCAGAATGTATACTGAAGTAACTCAAGTTTGTGTCTAGCTTCAACACCTCTCCTTTGTCTATAGTATAAGTAGTTTTTTTTAACGTAATCTATAGCATTTGGTCTTTTGATAACCCTGTGCTTTCAGTAAAATTTGCCACTTGGGCTATTTAAATGTTACGCACTTAAATAGGTAAATTATAACCCAAATTCACTGATTATTTTTTTTAATCCAAAGCACCCCAAAAGAACTACTACGTATATCAACAGTACATAACACTGATATTATTTTTAATTTTGTTTGCAGAGGTTAGATGCCAGCACTGATTTTAAATGGCTGTGAGCTGGCAGAGCACTCTGGGTACTGAGCTCCCAATAGGCATTGTCAGTGTTTTGAGCTCTAGGAACAAACAAGTTTGAGTCACTTGTGTTACAGGGAGTTCTCTTTTTATGGTTTCCCAATAAGAACTGAGGTGTTCAGCCAGCCTCCATATGCTGAAGTAGGAGCAATCAGAAGTAACAAGCATGTATTTGTCATTAACTGTAAGAAATTAGGTACTTTTTTGGTACTTTTTTCAGATTTGTTTAAAACATGTAACAGGGTGTAAGAGAATCTGCAATGTGTAATGAGTAGTATTTGTATAATACAGGTCCATACACAATATATCTTCTCCACCTTCACCACTGGACTCATTAAAAACCTGTCATTAAAAACATGGAATTTCTCTCCAACTCTCTCCTTGACCCTCTCCAAATCTGGTTTCTGCTCTTCATTCCACTGAAGCAGCTCTTTCCAAAGTCTCTTGAGTGACCTCTAACTAGCCTCCTCTATGGTGGTTTGTCTCCAGTTGATTTGTTAGCGTCATTTTGTGGACTGCCCAAAGCTCAGTCTTTGAGGCCCTCCTACAAACACCTCTAAGTGTATTGAAACTGCTGCTTTATGTTAATAGTTTTATTGCTACCTTGTGCTCCTCCTCTATTATATCCATTTTACTCCTGGGAGAATTCTTCACCAAAAAAAACCACCTCTGCGCACAATATTTTAAAATTCTGCATATTTTGTTTGTCAAAATAACACACTATAATTATGCTAGTGACCAGTATTTTTGAAATAAATTACCAAAATAATTGAAAACAAGTATGTCTGTAATAATACAGACAACAAAAAAACAGTCAAAAAACATTTCCTGAATTCTTACTAGGCATATTAATACAGAACTTTGAGTAGTAATTCATTTAAACTGCAATACAGAAATGTATTTCCTGCACCCCTCAAAAGCAGTGCAAAGGGAGTCAAGGATAATGAGGGCTCCGGCTTGGGGTGTGGTCTCTGGGGTGGGGCCGGAGATGAGGGGTTCAGGGTGTAGGAGGGGGTTAGGGGTTGGGGCCAAGTGGTTTGGAGTGTGGGAGAGGGCTCCAGGCTAGGGCCCTGATTGGGGTTTGTGTTCTACTGCAGAAGTTCTCAACCTTTTTGTTAGTCCCCCTCTTCTCCCCGCCCCCCCCCCACATGCTATAAAAACGCCACTTCCCATCTGTGTCGCAACTATTTTTTTCTGCATATAAATGCCAGCGCCGGTGTTAGGGGGTAGCAAGCAGGGCAATTGTCCGGAGCCCCATGCCACAGGGGCCCCCATGAAGCTACATGGCTTAGGCTTCAGCCCTGGGTGCAGGGCTCAGGGTCCCGGGCTTCAGCCCCATGCAGTGGGGCTTAGGCTTTCTGTCCTGGGCCCCAGCAAGTCTAATGCTGGCCCTGCTTGGCAGACCCCCTGAAATCTGCTCGTGCCCCCCACCCCCCTACGGGGGCCTGGACTCTTGGTTGAGAACCACTGTTCTACTGTAATATAAACAATGAAAATGCTGCTGGTTGCTTTCCTGTTTTTAGTGTTGATTTTTAATCTGAATTTTGTTGATTTTTGTCCTCTTAGCGAGCTCATTGTGCCATCTGCACTGACCGAATTTGGGGTCTGGGGCGTCAGGGATATAAATGTATCAACTGTAAACTCCTTGTTCACAAGAAGTGCCACAAACTTGTCAACATTGAATGTGGCCGCCACGCACTACAACCAGTAAGTGAAATTGTTATCTAGTAACTATTCTGAAACAAAACTTTATAGCATAGTGGAATGGTAACGAGGGCAATGGTCCCCAAACTCTGCAATGCTGAGGACCTCAGTGGCAATTGGACAGGAGCCTGATACTGGCACCCAACTTGCATATCTATATATCAAAAATAAATGTACATCCCTGCCTGTTGCTTGTATCTGTATCTTAATTGATGCTATTTACTACTTGTATAATGCTCTACATCTTCAAAATGCCATGGGGGAGGGCGGGAAATGGTTCCTCACATATCACTGAGTGGGGAAAGTATAGCTCCCATTTTACAGATGGGAAATTCTGAGGCACAGACGTTGCAGTTTGGCCAAAGCCACACAGCGAGTCAACTATGCTTAGCCCATTATATCATGATAACTTGGATTACCTGTCAGACATCATCAAAATATTTCAGATCAGTTTGTCTTCACCCTGCTATTAAAAAGGAGACAACTAAAGCCACATCTTAAGAATTCAATAGGCTGTATTTTGGGCATCCCTGAACTAGTCAAATGACTAGTAAGGCCATTTGAACTTTTCTTTCTTTCCCATTCCCACTGCTGTATTTTTCTCTAGTAAAGTGGGTTGCTATTTCAGTATATGTCTGAAGTATGAATACATCTAGATCTATGTAGAATAGGTCCCAAGTAGTTGCCGCCGCCTTGCTTTTCTGATGTAAATTTTTTTGTAGTGAGGATAATTAACCATTCAAACAATTTACCAAGATTCATTGTAGATTCATCACTGGCCATTTTTAAATCAAGATTGGATCTTTTTTTCTAAAAGATATGGTATTGGAATTATTTTGAGGATGTTCTATGGCCTTTGTATAAAGAGAGCAGACTATCACAATGGTCCCTTTTGGCCATGGAATCTATGAATCTGTGATAGCTATTTGAATTATGCCAGTATGGATGGTGTTTAGTCTAACTTTAACATAACCTAGTTAAAATTTAAATCAGATAAAGATCATATATGGTAGTCTAGTTTTTAAAGTAAAATGTGAAAGGAATAGGAACTGGAGTCCCCTGGTTAAACTTGGCTCTGTCTGAATCTCAGACTTGAAGGGACAAGTGCCTCTGCTCTTCCATGTTCAGTCATAACAATATAGTTAATTGTTACAAACTGTAATAGGCAAGAAATGAACCATTACTGTGAACATTTTGTAGGAGCCTGTAATACCTATGGATCAGTCATCAGGGCACCCAGATAACATAGAACCAGGTAAGATGAATAAATGTATTTTTATATAAAGTTTCTGCAATTTCAAGTACTTTAAACTGAATTAATATATTATTTCAGAGTTGGTTGATTTGTTAAAAAATGTAAAACATTTCATGTGAACAAACAGAATAATTTTATGTAGTGTTGTTGTGGCCATGTTGGTCCCAAGGTATTAGAGACACAAGGTAGGTGAGGCAATATTTTGTATTGGACTAACTTCTGTTGCTGAGAGACAAGCTTTTCGAGCTACACAGAGTTCTTCCTCAGGTATGGGAAAGGTACTTAGGGATTGTCTTCATGTATAGCAGCACAGCTACACCAGTGGACCTGCGCCACTGTAGCGCTTTAGTGAAGATGCTACTATGTCTACAGGAGAGTTTCTCCCATCAGCATAGTTAATCCATTTCCCTGAAGGTGGTAGCTATGTCGATAGGAGAAGCTCCCCCGTCAACATAGCACAGTCTACACAGGGGGTAGGTTGTATAACTACGTTGCACAGGGGTGTGGATTTTTAACACCCCTGAGCGAAGTAGTTATATCGATCTAGGTCTGTAATGTAGACCTGGCCGTAGAATGTTACGGCTAAATACAAGATCAAACAGATAGTGTAGCATAAGTAGTTAGAATATGTGCTAAGGGACCTTTGAAGGTGAAGTGGCCTATTAACACCCCTGTAGTCATAGGACAAAAAGGAGGGTTAACTGGTTAAAGGTTGTTGTAAGAAGCCATAAATCTGCTGTCTGAAGACCAGGCTTCTTTTTAAAGTGTCTAGCAAAGTTATGAATTTAAGCTCCCAGGCTTGTCTTTTGAAAGTGTTGTGCAGGCTTTCCATTCAGGATGAGGACTGAAAGGTCAGATAGAGTGATCAATTATTATGCATAAGGCTGCAAGTTTGTCACGGAGGTAAATTGATACAAGTCTGTCTTAATTTAGCCTAAAACTAGATGCAAGATGTATCTCCGGGCTAGGGTCCTGATTGGGTGATGTGGTGTTTTTTTGTCTTTTATCATTTCTTGTGATAGTTCATTTGAGATCACAGTGATTGTTTGGTTTCACCCAAATAGTTGTTGTTATGGCATTTAGCTCACTGGATGAGGTGTGCCATGTTGTGATAGGCATGTGTAGGACCCATGGATCTTGAAAGGTGTGTTGGGGGTAGTGTTGATTATTGAAGCAGTGGAGATGTCTGCAGGTTTTGCATCTGTTCTGGCAGGGCCTGGTGCAACTTTGAGTTGGTGTGCCCTGGTCTGTGGGGAGCTTGCTTCTGATGAGGTTGGGGTATTGTTTGAAGGCCAGAAGAGGAAGTTCAGGAAAGATTTTTTTTTTTTCAGGATGGGATTCCCATCATATATGGGTGTTAGCTGTTTGATTTCCCCATATGGGTTCACGTGTGGGGTAGAAGGTGACAACTAGGGGTGTGCATTTGGAGGGGTTTTTATTTCTAAATTGAAGCAGGTTGTCTTGGGGGTATTTCAGTGGAGTGTCTTTGTTTGGTAAAGGTGATTTTGAGTGTATTAAGGTGTATTCCCTGGACTTTCTCCTCAAAGCATATTCTGTGGTATCTGAGTGCCTGGGTGTAGATAACAGATTTTTTGTTGTTTGGGTTGGTTACTGGATCTCTGAAGGTAGCTGTCTGTATGGTTCCATTGTTCATTGTGTTGTCCAAGGACTTGATGCTAGCGTGGGAGTGTTCCAGAGAGAATTTAATGGGTGTGGGGGGGTGGTGGTTGAAGTTGTGGTGGAAATTTGAGGGAGTTTGTCATCTGTCCAGAGCACAAAAATATCATCCATGTATCTCAGGTGTCTCATTGGTTTCATGGTACATTTGTGTGGGGTATCATAGCTTGTAGTTTGATACTTGATGGGGACCCCATTTTGAAAAGCTATTAGGAAAACATCCCTGTTTTTAAGCCTGTTTATTTACATGCTTGTGCACCGATGTTTGTATTACACCTTAATCGCCTATCCTGCTGTTTAAATCAAAAGTTAAAGATAGAGAACAAATATTTCCCTATGTTTTAGATTTACTCTTCTCTGTAAATAGGGTAGCTCTTCAAAAGAATGTGGTGGTTGTGGTTTGATCTGTACAAAAACAGAGAATAAAGTTAACTAGTAGTTAGCATCATGGCAATGTCTTTTATACAGAAATCAAGTTGGAGGGGTAGCTAAGTAGGAATAGTAATCTTCACTTTCAAACTTGGATCTAGTCACTGTTCTTACCATTAAAACCAAAATTTACCAGACACTGTCTCTTTTTTTTCTCTTTATCATTCTCTGTCTGCAGAAATCACAGTTTGTATCATCTGGGCTGATCTCATGCAGTCATACATTTTAGAGGTTTAAATTTTTAACTTGCAGTCTTGTATTAATTATGAATGGGAGATTCTCAAACAATGTGGGGGTGAAATAGTATCCAAAGCTTTTTAGTTGGTAAACCAACTTTTAAATCAATATACTTTTTTTTTCCCTTGGAATATTTGCTGAAATCTTTTCTGCTACACTGTAATCCTCTCTAGTTTTTTAAACTCCCATGCACAAAAATAGAGAATATCTGTCTGTCCTTCATTTAATAGGATGAACACCTTCATTTTTTTTTTCTTTTAGTGATTCCATATAATCCTTCTAGCCATGAGAGCTTGGACCATGTTGGTGAAGAAAAAGAGGTAACGTGTTTTAGAGCAGTATACCTAACTATTCAAAAGTCTGGAAATCTTAGCAGTTTTAAATGATACTGAAACTTAGCACGTAGGTCACTATGTACAGATTACCTAAATTAACTCCTGTACAAACTCAGGTTAGTCCATTTGTGAGACACAAAGTTTGTGATCAGACACAGAATTCAATATGCAGTTAAAACTTTAATATGAAACTGACAGGAGAGAGTAAGCATTTTAAAGTACAAAGCTGTTCTTAAAAAAGGGGGCGGGATAATTATTAATTACTACTGCAGCACAGTAAATGAAGTATTTGAACCCCCAGTATACCTTAAAAAAAAAAAAAACTGCAGTTACCAATATATTATAATATTGGCAAGGTTGCTCACTTGCGTTTAAAAATCTTTATTTATAGGCGATGAGTATTAGAGAAAGTGGCAAACCTTCTTCCAGTCTGGGCCTTCAAGATTTTGATCTGCTCAGAGTTATAGGAAGAGGTAGTTATGCTAAAGTACTACTGGTTCGATTAAAGAAAACGGAACGCATTTATGCAATGAAGGTTGTGAAAAAAGAGCTTGTCAATGATGATGAGGTAAGCAATGTTTCAACCAATGGACTAAATAATTCTTCCTTTAGAAAGAACTTGCACATAGTACCCATAAGACCTAGATTTGAAACCTTACTGTAATCGCACTATATATTATGCATAAGCCTGCAAGTTTGTCATGGAGGTAAATTGATACAAGTCTGTCTTAATTTAGCCTAAAACTAGATGCAAGATGTAAACATTTCAGTGTGTCTGACTGCATTTCTTACGGGGGGGGGATAGCTCAGTGGTTTTGAGGATTGGCCTGCTAAACCCAGGGTTGTGAGTTCAATCCTTGAGGGGGCCACTTAGGGATCTGGGGCAAAATCAGTACTTGGTCCTGCTAGTGAAGGCAGGGGGCTGGACTCGATGACCTTTCAAGGTCCCTTCCAGTTCTAGGAGATAGGATATCTCCATTAATGTATTTATTGGTGAAATACTATTTCACTGTATCAAAGACGACATAGTTTTCTAAGCTTGGGATGTTTTTATAAATAGGATATTGATTGGGTACAGACGGAAAAACACGTCTTTGAACAGGCTTCAAATCATCCTTTCCTTGTTGGCCTACACTCTTGCTTCCAGACAGAAAGCAGGTAAGGTCAGAAACTAACAGAACAGAACTGTCTATTTGTCACACTTCTTCGTGACATTTTTCATATTGGTAGGTATCCCAAAGGGCTATTCAAATATTGAATGCAGAATAATTACTAAAAACTATAGCACCAAAAACATCTGTGGTGATTTGTAAACAAAAGGATTCTGAGAAGAAGGGAATTTGAAGGCGGCATGCTTGGTGAAGAAGGAAACCGTCCTAAGCACAGGAGACAGTATGATAGAAAAAAAAGCACAATATAGGAAAAAAGTAGTAGACGCATAGAGGATGAGAGGGGGTATGAAGAAATGAGAATAGATGTAATAGGGGATGAGGTTTCATGAGGCCTCGATGAGGGAAAGGAGCCTGAATATGGTGCAGTTAAATAGGAAATGAATGAAGGAATTCAAAAAGGAGTGGTGAGGTGGCAGGAGAGTTTACTTTAGTAGTGGTATTTGATAGCTTGGATATGAGAGAGAAGGTTAAAATAATAAAGGCAAAAGATGGCTTAAGCAGCAAGGATAGTGAGGAAACTGCATTTTGTTTATATTGTATTAGAGGGACCTTGTGGGAGACTGGATATATGGGTGGAGAGTAGTCAAATACAACACTGGATAACTGAAGGATAGTTGGGTTGTCAGTGATTAGAATCAGGAGGAAACAAGTTCAGCTTCAAAGTTTGTGATAATCTTTGAGATGTCTGAGGCAATGAGAGGCACAGTTGGACTAAGTGGTGGGATTGGGTGTAGAGAGGTAGATTTGGGAACCATTCACATAATTGGTGGGAGTGGGTAGTTCAGACAGAGCATTGGTTGTTCACTAGTAGAATTCTTGGTTCAAAAGGAATTATTTTGGGAAAGTTCTACAGGAGGTCAGATTGGATGCTCACAATGGTCCCTTCTGGCCCCAGAATCTGAATAATTGTTTTTGTAGAACACTTATAAATGTTGTTGTTAAAGAAACTTAGAAGCCCTGGTGGTTTGGGAGCATGGGAAGAGTTAATTACCTTCCTTTAATAATAAAAAGCTCCAGGACAAATTTTGTTGAATATTCATTGTTTGACTATTGAGAGAGGCCCTGAAATATGGAGACCTGAACATAAGATGATGGAATGGGAGTAACCCATTCCAATCCATATTATGAGAGATGGAAGGAGAGTCTTTGCTAGACCCTGTCAGTTCTACTGTTCAGAAGATATCAAGCTACAAGGACTCTGAGGGTAAAAAGGAAGATCAAACGTAAAGTTGAAACAATCCATTTTTGCTTAATATACCTTTTGTGTTTCAGATTATTTTTTGTAATAGAGTATGTAAATGGAGGTGATTTAATGTTTCATATGCAGCGGCAGAGGAAACTGCCTGAGGAGCACGCCAGGTATGTTTACTTTAAGAGAATATTGTTCACACGAAATCTGCGTTTCTGACATGATGCAGCAGTGCAAAGTTTATGTTGACACTGGCCTCCCAACTCTTGCATTCCCCACATGGAAAAGAGTTGAGATGGAAATATTTGGGTCAAGAAATTCTCCTTTTTCCGTGAGATGAGTTCCTATAATGTAGCTATTTAATTTTTAGTGCTGCAAGCTACAGATACCTTTTTTAATTCAGAATAAAGACAGTAATATTAACCAGAAGTACTTGGTCCTGTTCACACTAGAATCACCCTGAAGTGATTCTGTAATTTAAAATTTTAGAGAATAGAATTGGAGAAATGTAGTGCTGGAAAGGACCTTGAGAGGTCATCTAGTCCAGCCCCCTATGCTGAGGCAGGACCCAGTAAACCTAGACCACACCTGTTTGTCCGGCCTGTTCTTAAAAAATTCCAAAGATGGGGATTTCACAACCTCCCTTTGAAGCCTATTCCAGTGCTTAACTAATTTTAAAATTACATAGTTTTTCCTAATATCTAACCTCAATCTCCCTTGTTGCAGTTAATCTTTCAGTTACTACTTGTCCTACCTTCAGTGGACACTGAGAACAGTCAATCACCGTCATGTTTGTAACAGTCTTCAAATATGTTAAGAGCTATCATCAGCTCCCCCCTTGCATTTCTTTTCTCAAAACTAAACATACCCATTTTTTAACTTCTCCTCTTACATCAGATTTGTCTTAACCTTATTGGTTTTTTCGCTCTGCTCTGGGCTTTCTCCAATTGTCCACATCACTCCTAAAGTGTGATGCCCAGAATTGGACACAGTAGTGCAGGTAAGACCTCATCAGTGCCAGGTAGAGCGTGACAACTACTTTGTGTCTTAAACCCCCTGAATATTAGCCTTTTCTGCAACTGCATCACGTTGACGACTCTCATTCAGTTTGTGATGCACTGTGATTCTCTGAGATCCTTTTCACATTACTACCACCTAGCCAGTTATTCCCCATTTTGTAGTTGTGCATTTGATTTTTTTTTTCCCTTCCTATGTGAAGTACCTTGCACTTGTCTTTTATTGAATTTCATCTTATTTATTTCAGATCAATTCTCTAATTTGTCAAGGTCACTTTGAATTCTAATCCTGTCCTCCAAAGTGCTAGCAACTGCTCCCAGCTTCATATAATCTTCAAATTTTGTGTGTACTCTCCACCTATTATCCAAGTCACTAATGAAAATATTGAATAGTACCAGACACAGAACTGACCCCAGTGGGATCACACTTGATACACCCTCCCAGTTTAAGTGTTACATATAGATTGTATATTGATAAGATAAATTTGTTCCCACAAAGGTAGGGGTGTGTGTGTGTGTATATGTATAAATCTTCCCAACTTCCACCTCTGCAAACTACTTCTATGATCTGAGGATTCAACAGAGTTCTTTCTATTTATGTGTCATCACTACTAAGAAAATTCTTCAGCCCCAATTTACATCTGTGCCCCTTCAGTGGGGTTACAGGTGTGATTGAGGTCAGACTTTGTCACTGCAGCATGAACTTGGTCAACAATTCTGATATGCAAAAGGAATAGAATCCAATTTGCTCTTAGCCCTGCAGAGCCAATACATCTATCAGCAATGAATGTATTTTTGCACTTATAAGCAGCTATGACTGAATAAACAGTATTGGTTTTCAGAGTAGAATTACACTAAGGACACTTCATTGCTGCACTATTTATTATGCTGTAGTTGTAAATCTATTTTGCAAAACTAAGGGACCTTGTGTCATCAATGTGTCTGTCTTCATTCTAGGTTTTATTCTGCAGAAATCAGTCTAGCATTGAACTATCTTCATGAGCGAGGGATAATCTACAGAGACTTGAAACTGGACAATGTGTTATTGGATTCTGAGGGGCACATTAAACTCACAGACTATGGCATGTGCAAGGTGAGGGAGAATTCTTTCCAAACAGATAAAATGTGAAACTTCCTTCCTGGGTATCTTGTAACTTATGGTAGCTTATTAAATGACTAAGTCTGTAATCAACTTGTATACACCTCATGTGGAAACAGAAGGCTTTATCCCATCTGCAACTAGAAGGAAGAACAAGAAATGCTGAACTACTCAGATGTGTAAAAACACACCTCCTGCCTTCTGGTTCTACAACCCATTGTATATTAGGATCTAAAGTTTATCACAGAATGTAGCAGGATAAAATAATAAACTGAAAATGGAAAAACATTAAATGAGGGAATTACCCCAACCCTCTGCCCATGAATGTTTCAGCCTTCTGTTATTTTAAACAGATGAACCCTAATACATGAATTCAGTGTACATGTAGATGGGAGTAACACTTCCTGTGTCTCTTAGCCAGGAGATGTGTCCACTCGGTCTTCTGAGAATGGGAAAGAAGTCCAGTGCTATAAAGGGCCTTGGCCGCCTCTCCCATATCCCAGCATGCCTCAGCCCAAACAGAAGGGACAGCCTTTTGATATCTGTCTTGGAGGCAGGTTAGGAGCAAGGCCCTTTCTAAAATGATCATCACTAGGCTGCTGGTCATTGCTTCCACACCACAAGAGAGCTAACTGCCTTGCGTAGTTTTTCCCCACATTTTCCAGAGGAGTTAAATATTCAGACCAGACTGAAGATAATTCCAGGAAAAAAATTAAGGCACTACTTTGCTTGCAGGCAAAGCAGACAGATAAGTATGCTTGGGCTACAGAATGAGGATAACAATTCTTTCAGACACTGGAGGGGAGAGAGGTCTCACCCTAAAAATAACTGGAAAATAGGTCATGTAAGGAATATCAGCATGTTTCTTAAAGACTGCTTTGCTTTTCCCCTTTCCAAAATAGCATTGTCCACTTTCATGCTGTGGATGTAATCCTGAAACATGAACTTGTCTTTCCCATGTTGTGCACTTTTCAGTTGTAAGCTGATTGTTAGGCATTGGAGGAAAAATAAGTTGCATAGCAGGTGCTTGGCAGGGAAATACAATCACAACTTACTACAAGTGTGGAATTCAGCTTTCAAAATGGTCTAGTTTACTTCTGATTTATTTTTGTAGAAGTAATATAGTGCTTTGCATGCAGATTACATGCATAAATCTAGTAATTTATTTTGGTATGGGTCACTTCACAAAGTATAGTTTTATAATGTGACAGCAAGTAGAAGGCATTTTTAGCAAATGATGTAAAACTTTTCCCCTCTGTTTCCTTTTTCAGGAAGGATTAAGGCCTGGAGACACAACCAGTACTTTCTGTGGAACTCCCAACTATATTGCTCCTGAGATTTTGCGAGGAGAAGATTATGGTAATTTAATCATCATAAAATACTTGAGCTGTAATGCATTTCTGTTAACTTCCTTGTAAAATGATTTGTGGACGAAAACAAGAATCACCATACTAGATCAGACCCATGGTCCAGCTAGTCCAGTATTCTGTCTCCAGCAGTGGTCGGCCCTAGATGTTTCACAGGATGGGGCAAGATACCTCATTTTACGCAGATATGGGATAGTCCGTTCCCCCCTGTTAGGTAGTGGTTTTAATATTTTCCACAGTTTATTAACCTTAGCTATTGTAACTCTGGATTGTTATCCATATAAATGTCCAGTCAGTCCCTTTTCAATCTTGTTAACTTCTTGGCCTCAATGATGTTTTGTGACAGAGTTCCATAGTTTAGTTATGTATTTTGTGGGGGGAAGGGGAGAATTCAGTTTTGAATTTGCCACCCTTTAATTTCATAGAATATTCTCTTGTTGTCATGAGACAAGGAACAAACTCCTAATCTACCTTTTCTATACTATTCATTATGTATTTTCATCACATTTCATCTTATTCATCTTTCTTCTAAAGTAAAGAATCGTTCTTTTCTGGTCCGAGATAAATTTGCTTCTCTCCTATGTCTGTGGTAAAGCATCTGTTAGCTAGGACTTGATCATTTGTTCCCTTTTTCACTGTAGCTCGCTATCTTATAAATCTAAGTATTGGGTCTCAGATACTAAAGCATTTTAAAATGCTTTATCCATATAAACATAACGAAAATGTATCTAGTGACCTGTAATAGCTATTAAAATTTATACAAACACAGTATGTAGAAGTTCTGTTGTAGGTGTAACACTTTTTTTTTCAGTATTAACTTGGCCACTTTTAGTTATACAAATGCAAAAGGGTATTTTGCTAGTTGCAGACAGTTCTGGAACATTGCATTACTTGGGTCTTATATTTCTGGCAAAAGCCTGAGGCTCACCCTGTGACCTATCAGTCGCCTTCCTTCCAGAGCAGGGAGATGGCTTAGTATTGTCTTCAGAACTAATTAGGTGTGCTTAATTTTCTGTGACACAAGGCCCTTCCTCTTTGCTTAGCCTGGGGAGAATCTGGCAGAAGGCTATCTTTATAGCAGTCCCAGCCTTGAGGAGAATCAAGATACTAGAACTGTTAATTGATACCTGTCTTCAGCAGTGAACAATAGAACATGTGATGTCACCTGCATAAATAATTATTTTTATTTATTGCAGTGTTTGACACTAATAACTATGTAGCCTTCCACCAAAAAATGCTGTCAATACACAGCTGAGATTGAGTGTCTTTTTTTTATTCCCCCTTAAATACTAAAATTACTATTTAAACTTGAGAACCTAATCTTTAAGGTTTCAGCACCAACCTTTTAAGTCTGCTCCTTCTCCTTTCTGAGTACTGCCTTCCATCCTGCACATAATGAACAAGAGGACTCCTGTTGCCATTGTCACACCCACCTTAAATGTACAGTAGTCTTTAGGTCATAACTTGACTATTGCATGCCTTTCTGACAGTCAAGACGTCTGATTATTCATTAGTAAAATATACCTTGTTCTTCATATAGTTAGCACTGATACTTATTTTAATAAGTCCTCCCTGATAAAATAATTTATATTCTGATTTTTATTTTTTATTTTTTTTTAAATTCTAGGCTTCAGTGTTGACTGGTGGGCATTAGGTGTACTTATGTTTGAAATGATGGCTGGCAGATCCCCATTTGATATTGTTGGAAGCTCCGATAACCCTGATCAAAACACAGAAGATTATCTCTTTCAAGGTGAGGAGTGGTGAAGTTTTAACGTACAATAGATTCTGCTTATTGGCAATCCTTTGGCTGACAGCAGAAAGTTACCATTATCTGACAGTTGCCAAAAAGAAGTTAGGTTTGCAGGGCTGCAGCTGGAAGCACTGGAACGTGCCTTCCCTGGCTGCAGCCCTGCAAATCTATCTGTGGGGAGGATGGGTGCAGCTCAGATGCTAGGGCTTTCCCCATGGAGGGAAGGCTGTGGCTAGGGCAGCAGTGGGGGTGCTAGAGGGCCACTGTTCTGCACAGTACCCATCTCCACTGCTGTCCTGCCCACAGCCACCTCTCCCAGTCCGCAGCACTGGGTCTCTAGCAGGGTTGTGGATGCGGGTGTCTCTGCCCCTTATCTCCTGTGCAATCCCTGGGCACAGGCAGGTTTGCAGGACTGCAGCCAGGAAAGGAAGCACTGGTACATGGCAGCACCAGCTGCAGGCAGATTTTTTGGGGTTGCTGCCAGGAAAGGCACCTTCCAGTGCTTCCTTCCTGGCTGCAGCCCCACAAACCTGCCTGTGGTTATGGCCTTTCTCCCTTCCCCTCTC